AAATACTTCCAAACTGTACACTTGTCTATTTGTTTGATACGAAAAAAAACTGAAGTTTTTGTCGAAAAACAAAGAAAACCAAATAATTCGAGCAAATAAAAAAAGAAAATGTGAAGAATGATGTCGTGAAAGCATAGGTGAATTGAGTAGGCAACTAGGTCAGTTATGCGAACATTTATCATTGCGTGTTTAATTCAAAGTGCTTTCTCCTTTCTTGTTTGTGACGAATAAATGATAGAAGGGGGATAATAACGATGGTTATACACTTTATTCTATTCCTTCATATCATATAATCGTGTCGTTTACATAAAAAGCACACGCTTATATACGCAAGTAGAGTAAGAGAGGATGAAGAGAGAGGAGATGAGGCCAAGGAGAGAGCAGATATAGGAGAAGAGAACAATAGAGTAAGGACAGAAGCATAAGAATAGAAAGGTAAGGACAATGTATAATATACGAGTGAACAACATGAGAAAGTCAAATATCATGTACGAAATCCAATCAACCGGGACTGCTACATTGTTCATCTTTATCAATGAGCTTTCCCATACGTATTATTTCTGTTCATTATTATTCAGAGAATCTTTTCTTCCATCGACATTCCACTCGTCTTCATCATCTCTATATCTAAACCCCATTTATAGAATACAAATAAAAAGATAGTAGATTTTGAATTTCATTCATATGTCAATTGAGTCAGAACGAAATGATCGACTTTGTGTCTGCCTCTTTGTGACAAAAAAATCTGACTAGTAAGGTGATTTTTTCTTGCATTCATTCTCGTCAAAAAATAAACGAGTTGGGAAACTATGCTAAGATGAATTGGTTGTATAGACAAAAGTTTAGACAATCGATAAAATTGGTCTTAAATAGCGTGAATCATCTTCTATGTTGCGAAACAGATCAGATATTGGTGTATAGCGGACGTTTTCCAAAAGAAATAGTTTTCAAAGCTCGAAAAAATTCTCTTGAAAACCGTAAGTTTTTAAACGAGATTATTTAATTACTCCTTAGAAAAATTTTGTTTTTGTTTTTGGTGATATACTGAGATATTAAGGAACAATATTTCTTACACTATCGATAGACTTCTAAACGTATTGTTTCGATTTGGAACTAAGAAAGTGTAAATTGAATTCGATGGAATTTCTCCTTCTTGTCTTCGGAGTAGTTTCGTTTCAGACTGCAAAAGTAATACCTAATCTGAATAAATTATTATTCTAACACATATTTATGCTTTGAAATTTTATGTTATGTATTATTGAAGTGAAAGTACCAACACCCATCAAAGACAACTGTCGACCAATGCTGCGAAAGATTAATACACAACTACTTGTCGCATTCTTCACAGTCTTCTTGGTAACATGGCATTTCAGCGTCGTTCGTTTACCGAGCTGTTCCGAGCAATCTTCTGTGGCATTACAAGCGCCCGAGTCTGAAAATGTAGCGTTCGAACAGTGGAAAATTCCAAACTGGGTTGAAAGATTTAATGTGACCCATTTATTCGATTGGACGTGGCATAAGAATGGCGAGTTTATACGCTGTCGAGCACATATTAATCGATCATCACATTTATCAGCATGCAAAGCTGCATCAGCAACGGTCGTGAATGATGTTCTCGACTATTTTCGTTCTCATCCCGATGAAGGATGTATTGTAGACAATGTGATTCGTCTTCCTAATTTAATTCCTCATCCATTGCCTCTCGCTCGCTCTTTAACTGACACGTGTTCTTCACTTCATATCAATCATGAATGGGCCATATGCATTCAACCGCAGTCGGAACTCAATAATTTACTTCCGGCAACTAAGCGATTTGTAACTATCGCCGTATTCAATGCATTCGTCGACACGGGTTATTGTCATCCACAAGTACCAGGAACAGTTTTTACTGAGCGTGCTACTTTTCATCTTCAACGATGGACCAACAAACGATGCAGCAATGATGTCATCTCTAACATTCCACAAATCAAAAATGAATATCGACACACTGAATTAATTGACTCCATTGGAAATTATCTTGAGGCACCAGGACATTTTGCACCTCAGCAATTACCAAGATTACTACGATTGCTTGCTACTGCGCCAACAACAGCCAAAGTCCTTGTGGCGAAAGGTGGTGTCGCTGACTCATTGATTGATGTTCTTATTGAACGTGGTATAGTTACACGTGATCGCATTATTCAATTTGATAAAGACATTCGTCCTAATCACTTCGCGAATATTGTTTATCGCAGTGAATCCTGGCCCTATGTAGGTGACAAAGGTAATTCTCACTACATTCACGATAGAACAGACATGCAACTCGTTCATCGAGCTATGGCTACTGATGATTTAGCAGCGATTGACAAAAAGGATTGCATTATTGTCATAAAAAGAAAAGATGGAGATGCACGATCAATCGTTGAACATTCAGATATGATTGCATTTATAACATCAGCACTGAATAAATCCAAAGTGTTATCGGATCGTCACATCGAAATCTTTGAAGCTCAAGGACATATTCGTGATCATATTGCTTTATTTCGTCGAGCTCGTATAATTGTTGGTCCCCATGGTGCTGGAATGATGAATATACTATGGTCATCACCAGGAACTCACGTAATTGAGATTGGATACACTACTGGAATGACTTTTCCTGAAATGTACGCAGAGATGAGCCTTCATTTGGAACATCACTACTGGATCTGTAAAGGACATGGTGATTATTATGCTCCTATTCACGTTGATATGGAAGATTTTATGTATATTTTCAATCAAATCATACATGAAATAGAAATTGAGGAAGGACGATCTTGATTATCGTGGATTATACAGGTCTCTTCGCTATTAATGCTGATGCTTGTACTCTTACGGTAGGCAGACTGAAAAAATATTTTAAGTAATTTTCAGACCAAAGTCTCACTTCGTCATGTATAACTTATGTTGGACCTTAACATTCGCTTTTCTAGTCATTGGATAGCATGCCAATCACTAATTTATTCGGGGCTGAATAACTTAAAATTACTGGTTCATAATTGGCCTCTTAACCTAAGGGGATCTTTCCTTTATGGTATTTTGTAGGATTGGCTCCCCTAATAGTTCACAAGGTATCAGAGTAGATAGATATTGATCAGTAGAGCAAAAGTCATCATAAACTATAAAGTACTCAAATGCTTCCTTCTATGAGATCTCGCGGCCGCAAAGACTCAAACTTATTCCACTTTCTTAGCTGCAACATAGCTTATAGAATTGAATTTTTTACATGTACTAGACACGATTTGGGGTGTCTGTTTTTTTGGCTTCTTTGTATTCCCTTCCAACAAAATGAAACGATCAAAATATTGACGTGTTTCCCCAAGTATATTAATTTTTGTTTTGTGAAAGACGATCTGAAAGGAAGGTTGCAGTATAGAGATAAAACTTTGGAAATCTGACCGTCCACAGCCCGTGATACAGACTTCTACAAAGCCCTTTTGCACGATAGACACTTTAACAAGACTTCTTTTCTGTCCCTACCTTCTCTTACGCCACAAACTGTGATAGACGTGTTTGATATGCGATCAAAGATGGTATACCAATAACGTCTCGTTATAATATACGAACTACTTCCTTATAGCACTTCTGAAGGATTAAGTCACAGGATGCTGAAGAAATGTATTCCAAAATATATAAAATTGAAAAACTCTTCCTGATATTAGCAACAATAATTACATCGTGATTTACGTTTTAACTTCGCAGTAAATGCACTAACAGCTTTTTTTTAAGTAGAGCTATTTTGTAAACTCTGATGAAAAACAGCAATTCGTCATACTCTGAAATTTGAAAAATCGGCACTTGAAAAGCTTTTTACAACAAGTAGAAAAAAGTTTTAGCTCCATCGGATGTACTGTGGTTGAAGGATGGGGCTACTTCTCACTTCTTTTGTGAAAAAACTCAATTTTCCAACACAGCGAAATAATGTGCAAATTTTGTTGTGTTTCAGCGATATATTGCATCTTTTCCGGCTTGTCAACTTCAGTAGTTATCTGATAATCCTTGAAAAATATTCAGTACATAGAAGATACCTCAAAACGAATATACGACAGAGCAAAACAAAAATGAAAAATTGAAAAATTTTCATTTAAGAAAATAGGGTTCGCTTATGGTGCTCGGTTCGCATAGCTTCTGGGTAATTCGGATAATTTTATGCTAAAACGAAATTCTTGTCTGACTCTCTGGTGAAGCTTATATAGAAACACAATTCTGTTGACTTTTTTGAATTATCATAACAGTTAAGGAAAATAAATTGAGGTTCATGAATTACAATTAGAGGTGTTAGCCGCCGATTTCTCACCGCCGCCGCAGAGGACGTTGCGGCGAGGAATTTTTCGCCGCCGCCGCCGTCGGTTGAATTAGAATGTATAGTTTAAATTTTTTCCTTTTCTAAATAACCAATTAGGCGACAGAAGGAAAAGGTATGAAACATATAAATAGTTGCGTTCGCATTTCACATTCATTCATTCACTTAACTGATATTGTTGCTAAGATTGTATTATATCTGGCATCTGAAGCAAAACAAGTTACTCTGCTTATCTGCAAACTATTGGAAAGTCCAAAGAGAAGTTGCTTCAGTCGATGATTGGACGATTCAAATTGAATAATAATCAAGTTCTAACAATGTCTCCTAACAAAAAGGGGATGACAAATGATTCTTCTACTTTAGCGTCGCCCAATGCTTGTGTATTATCAACATAATGCTCATAAACGTAGACTTTCAGTCGAATCCCTTGACAAACAAACCATTGATTTAAAGAAGTTAAAAACAAATCTCATTGAATTGCACAGTGAGTCAACTATCCA